CCCCGCCTCAGCATCGGGGCCTGGTCCTTCTCGGGGTCGTCCGAGCCTACCAGCGCCTCTTCCGCCCGGGAGGATGGACCGGGGGTCAGGCAGGCCAGGGTCAACCCAACCCGGCCACCCGGTCGCTCCACAAGGCCAAGCCCGGGCCAGCCCCACGTGCACGCTGAGGTGCCAGTGGCCAGCGGGAAACAGCCCTGGGGAAGGCGGGTGCAGGCAGAGCTGGGGAGGGGACAGCAGACAAGAGTTCCCGGGACCAAGTGCCCCACACTAGCCTTGGGAGCAACATCCTGACCACAAAATCACCTGTTGTGTGTCCAGGGCTCAGAGAGGGCCAGGATCTGCCTTAGGTGACAGAGCAAGTCTGGCACAGCCAGGAACAGGAAACTCAGCCTCGCTCAGGGCCCAGTAGGGAGCCGGGCCCCTGGAGCCTGAGGATCAAGCCAGGGTTCTCTGTCTCCCTGGGTCCCATCCCCCTTCTGACCTCAGGACTTCTGCGCCCGCCGCCCCCCCCCCCCACACACACACACGCACACACCCAGGCGGAAACAAAAGCCACTTCCTATCTGGGGAAGCGATGGGACACCTCTCTGAGCAGCTCAGGCCAGGCTGTAACGTGCAGCCCTCCTGCCCCTCACAAAACGGGAAACTAAGGCACGAGCTGGCCGGTCACGCCCTTGGTCCCAGACCAAAGCACTCCCTCTGACGGGTCAACAGCACGCCAGACAAGGTACCTGCAGAGACGGGCAGCTGGTGGTTTGTCATTAGGGCGCTGGCTCTCCAGGCCGGTCGGGCCTCTCACCTGGGCGCTGACCTGCCAGACAGCCACCTTGGAAGGCGGCCCTGGACGCCCCGCCCACCCGGCAGGACCGAAGTGGTGCTGACACTGCAGTGGCCAGGGCAGGGCCACCCAAGGGAACAAGGCCACTGGAGGGGGCGGGGCAGGGCTGCTGTTGGCCATCCGCATCCACCAAGGTAGCCACAGAGCTGGGAGCTTGACGTGGCCTCCACCCACCCAGGTGACCCTGTGACAGGCCCTGGGCGGACAGACTCAACCAGGCGGACACCAGAAGAGCCAAGAGCCCCAGGCAGGCAGCCCCCTCCTGCAGCCAGCTCAGGTATGCGGGGGGAACCCCCAGGCCTGCCGGGCCTGTGTTCCCACCCGGTCCCTGTGCTCTGCTCTCCCCGGCTTTGTGTTAGTGAGCAGTTGCCATGGATACTGGTCTCAGCTTCTTTGGCAGAAAAGGGCTCCCCCAGGGCAGGGCTCTGCCTCTCCTCACCGGGCTCTGCCCCGCCCGGTGCCACCAGCTGGATCAAAGGGAAAGAGCTCAGGAAGGCACAGGTGCCCCAGAGAAGCTGGGGAGGGGTCTCAGCTCCCAACAGCCATTCTCCATTCTCTTCCTGCTGGGCCTGGCTCCAGCCTCCGTCCTGCTCCCATTTCACAGATGGAAGAGTGGGGGCCCGGGGGCCGATGGAGCTCCGGCACCAGGAAGCAGATCGGAGGAGACGGTGCCCGAGCCCTCACCTTTCCCCTGAGCTGGCAGCCGTGACTGGGCTCCAGCCATGGGAGCGGGGGAAGCTGTAGCAGCCTCTGCTCAGAGGCCTCGTGCCCTGGCCAGCAGCAGGGCCAGGCACCCCTGCCTGCACGGAGACAGCAGTGTCCTGGGGGGGTCCTGGTCCCGCTCCTCTCGGCTGCTGCGGGAGCTTGGGTGAGCACCTGTGCTCTCTGGCCTCCAGCATCCCCATCCACACGAGGAGATGTGTGCAGGGGTAGCCCTGGGCTCCTTCCCTTCCACCCCCCTGATAAGCGCCAGAGCTGGGCCTGGCCCTCCTCACCTGCTGCCTGTGCCCTCAGGGGGTTCTCAAGGGGAGGAGGGGAGGCCGTAATTGGCTGGGAATGCTACTTGTTCCCAGGATGGAGACCCGGCCTGGTGGAGGAGGGAGGGGTCCTCAAAAGGGCCTGAAAGGGACTGACCGAAACAAAGAGGCACGGGAAGGACAAGGTGGCCGGGGGCACAGCTTGCACAGAGGCGAGAAGGGGAAAGAGGCTGGCATCTGTGCGGCTCTCCTAAGGGTGCGTGAAAACACTCATTCACTCCGGCAACCTGGGAGGCACCCAGGAGGTGGTGATAACCCAGAAGGCTCAGGTGACACCCCCCAGGTCACCCAGCTGGGGGGGGGGGGAGCTGAAGAGCCTGAACCCAGGTCTGCACTGGCCACTGCAGCGGGACCCCAGCCACCGTGGCTGTGGCTGCCTGAGCCGTGGCCAGTCCCGACTGACCCGTGCTGTAAACGGAGAACACACACCGGGCTGCAAAAGTTAGTATGAAAAAAAAAAAAAAGAGCAAAATATCCCGTTAATAGCTTTTATGTTGATTACATGTGCAAATACATTAGAAATGTGAGGTTGAATAAAATATATGAATCGGTTTCACTTATTTCTTTTTACTTTTTCAACGTGGCTCCTAGAAGTATTTAACTTATATATGCGGCATCATATTCCTCTTGAACAGAGCTAGTTGATCTATACCATAAAGATAGAAACACACACAGCACAGATTTCGAGAAAGAGAGTGGGAAATCCACTGCTGAGGGTCTCAGGAGTCAGGTGGGTCGAACATCAAAGGTGACTGAGCCGTAGAATGTCTGCCCCCTCACCCCCCCCCCCCCCAGCCAGCAGCAGGTGGACTCTGGCCTGGGATGCCCATTCCCCTGCCCTCCCCCTCCAAACACATCAGGCCACAGCAGTTGTCATAGAGACAGTAAATCTCCCTAAAAACTGGACCTGGGGCAGGGGCGTGGGGAAGCCTGCCATGACGAGAGGGAGAGGGAGCCAGGCTTATCCGGAGAGGAAATCTGTGTACGTTGTGTGTTGGGGGTGGGGCAGTGCCGGGACAGGGAGGGATGCATAGCCCAGGCGGGTGTTTGCACAGGGCTTTCCGGACCTTCCTCCCGACGGCCCCACACCCCTCTGAGCCACCGCTCCCCATCCCCCCTTACAAATTCCCTCGAATTTCCTATCCTGTTCTCCCATTCTGACTCTGGGACCCAAGTAGGATGGGAGGCAGATAAGTTCCAGACCTCCCTGATCCCACCCTCTCCCCTCAGTCCCTGGCAGGGTCAGTCTCCCTGAGGATACCAGGGAGGGGTGGGTCTGGGGCCGGGAGAAAACAAGTTGTGCAGTGTCACAATGCCAGAGACAGCACCAATCACCGTCCAGTAGAGATGTGGGAGCCCTCCCAGGCCAAGGCTTGCTGGTAGACCTACCACCTGCCTTCTCGGCACTTCCCAGGCCGTCCTGGACAAGGGGTGCCCAGGGGCCTTGGTCTCCTCCTGTGCACAGAGTCCATTTTGCACCGACCACAGATCCCCGTGCTCGCTGACCTCCCCCCACTTTATGGTGGCACCGAAGCTCCCAGGTCCCAGACAGCACAGCGTGGGGGGCCGGTGCAGCCGGGTGTTCCTGCGTCTTCCTGTTCCCCAGACCACAGTAAGAGCCTCCTGTGGATGGCCCAAGTCAGAAATGGGCGCTACTGGTTCCCACTGCCGCACCCCCCCCCCTTTGCTGCCCCCGCAGCAGAAGGAATAGTGAGCCAAGGGCTTTTGAAAGTGGGAGAGGGGGAGGGGGAACCCATCAGAGTTCCTTCCTTCTACTTGACACAAAACCCTATTCGGCAGAGGAAGACTGAGGCCAGCAGGAGGGAAAGGGACCCAGGTGACACACGGTGGACAGTAGGGCCCACCTCTCTCCATGGCCCCACAAAGTTCTCTTTAGAGTCTGTCCAAAATTCCTCCCGCCACCTTCCCTCCCTCTCTCTCTCTCTCTCTGTCTCTCTCTCTCTTCAGTTGTTCCAGATTTTACTGAGCTGTGGCTAGGCAGGTTCTGGGCCAGCGTGCCATGTAGACAGCCACTGCTCTCCTCCTGCAGGGAGCCCCCCGTACCAGCCTGCCCACAGAGCTTTCATTTCAAGGTTACCCCGTTCTCACCTACAGGCAGCTCAGTCCACGGAAGGCCCTACTCACAGACCCCCTCCCCCCCCCCCCCCCCCCCCGGGAACTGGGGGAGGGGGAGTGAGCAGCCGGAACCCAGTCCATCCCCCAGGGGCCCAGAGATTATCCACCGCACAAACGGGAAACAGACTTAAACACGAGCTGGGACTGGCCCAAGGTCACACACCAAGCAAGTAAGGGGCAAATCTGGGACTAGAACCTGGCTGTTCCACAGACCCCCACCCCGTCCCCAAGGCTGGTTCCCAGAGACGCTCGCACGGGATGAGGCAGCCCCCTCTGCAGCCCCGGTGGCCTGCGCTCTACCCCAGGCCCCCAGCGCCACAGAGCTGGGGGAGGCGGCTTCAGGCCTCCAGCCAGGGCCAGCTGCAAACCGCATCTCGGGTCCCCAGGCGCCGCGGACCCGCCCCGCCCCTCCCTCCGCTCCCCGCAGCCCCGAGCCTTTGTCAGCCACGCGCTCACACACGGATCCGCGCCGCCCGCGCGCACACACCCGGGCTCCCCTGGCGCACACCCGCAAGGGGCGCGCGCGCTCGCCGCCCGCACGCAGGGGAGTGGAGGCGCCGGAGGAAGGAAGGAACTGACCCGCTACGGCCCGACAGACGGCCTGGGCTGGGGGAAGGGGAAGCTGGGGCCGGGGCGGGAGGGGGCGCGGAGGCGAGGACGCGGAGAGACGCGGAGGAGACTCTCGGAGAAGAGGACAACGGATGGGACGTCAGGGCTGGCGAGGACGCGCGGGCTGCTCCGCGGCTGGGGACCCCTCCAACCCCTGGCCCGGCGGGGCGGGGGCGGGGGCGGGGGGCAGGTCCCCGATTGGACCCGTGATTCACGGGCCGTCACTTGCCCAGCGTGCCTGAGCGGAGGGCCCTTAGACACCCCGCTTAAGGCTTGAATACAGGGGCCCTGGGACCAAAGGCTCCCCGGGGAACCTCCAGGCCGGGGGGGTTGGGGGGTGGGGGCTCCTGGCTCTCAGGCTGGGTGGGGCGCTCGCTCACCTGCTACGGTGTACCTGTCCAGGTAGTTGAGCACGTTGCCCAAGCTGAGGATGGCGGCAGCGGCCCCCCGTCCGCGGCCCAAGCTGGCCGGCTTGGGCTGCTGAGCTCCGGGGCCCTTGGCAGCGGCCGCGCAGCCGGGGGTGCCGGGGGTGCCGGGGGTGCCGGGGGGTCCGGACGGCGCCCGCCTCACGCTGCCCGACAGCGTCTGCACCTCGTCGTCCGCGGCCGCGGCTCCCGCGGCGCCC